ATGCATCTGTAGGCAGCTTCTGCAGGACAGGGGAAAGGACATCTGCCTGGAAGAGGAAGGAGCTTAGGAGACATGGAAACAGCAAATATATGGCACATGCGTAATCTGAATATAGTGGTCTCCAGAAGAGCCCTGTGCGCTGGGGCTCTGGGCCTCTTGGCCCTCCTGTGCCTCACTTCCCTCCCACAGTCCCCATCTCTGTAAGTTTCAGTTACTGAATAAAACAGCTGCCTGCCTAAAACTGGGCAAACGAAATCAGTGCACATTTTTGAAAAGAACACATAGACTCGGATAGAGGGTGTGGAGCCGGAGGTGTGAAAGGTGGCAGGGAGCACAGGCTGGAGCAGGGCGCGTCACCAAGTTCGCCTTGCAGTGGGGGTGAGGGGACCTCGGCACTGGCACCCAGCATCAGCCACTGGCCCAGCTCTGGAGGATGTGCCTTGGTGTCCAGTCTTCAAGTTCCCAGAGATGCAAGTGACAAGGAGATGGAGCACAGTGAGGTCAGCTGCGAGCGCGCCAGCCCTCTGGTGCCTGTTGGCTTAGGTCGGCGTTCAAGGAAGGCATGGCATGCCGGGGTGTGGGGAGACCTTTCCACCCGCCACATGCCCACACCTCTGTGGAATATTTTGGTACTGCCATAAATTATCATCATGTATGACTCACTATCACGACACAAAGCAGAGTCCCGGTTGAGTGATTCTCATGATTTGTGCTAATGATCTATGTTGATTCCCTTTATGAAGAGCACATGGTCCAATTACATATTTCTTCTATCCCGGGTTAAAGATGTCCTTCTAAATGCCCATTGTGCCAATTTATAGGCATATAAAAAAGGATTTTCAGTAAAATGTAGTTTCATTGGTTTTGATGAAAAAGGTTTGTGATGAAAGTAGAATCTCTAATAAGCATTTCATAAATGACTTGTCTTTCAAATTTAATATAAAACAGAATAAAATACATCTCCCAAAGACCTCCATACCATTGCATGGATTTAAAGTCCCTATTCTCCATCAATCAGGCCCAGAAACTCAAAAACTATGTGCAGATCCAATTAAATATTTATCATCAGACATTGGTAAAGCTGAGAAATTACGTATGACCCAAATTTTTAAACAGTGCCACCTTGAAAGTGGACAGAAAAGGTTCACGGGGGGACCAGGGCCCAGCTCTTCAGAATGCACCATCCCAGGCCCCACTTTGGCCTGGAATTTGGAGACAGCAAGGAGCTCACGGGGCTGAGGAAGCATGCTCAGGACTGAGTGTTTTAGCCTTGCCTCAGAAACATGCAGAGATTTCCTGGGACAGAAGGTACCTTGGGAAAGACAATACCAGGAGGAAAACTTGGTTTCTCATAGCTGGGTGTGTTCGGCCTCTTGCCCAGATGTCTATAGGTTTGTCCCTCTCCTGTACTCCCCATTTGCCGGTTAAAGAATGTCAGGGTTGTACCACGACTCCTTCTGATGACCAGAAAGCACCCCTAAATTCTAGTAATATAATTACTTATCATCTAACTATTAGGCAGGTAGATACATTATGCATCAGCCAAGACCTTATCTCCTTCCAGGGGCTGCAAGCACAGCCTTCCTGGAGATATCTGTTCAACATGCCACAAGCCAAGAAAGGGACCCAGAGGGGTTGGTTCACCTCGGTATCTGGCTTTTGATATGTTTATCTTTTAGTATGCAGAATTCCTTTCTCTAAAGGAATTTAAGTAGTGATAAAACATGACCAAAAAGAGGAAAGGAAGAAAAAAAAATAGAAAAATGAAAAGGAAACCCAAACTAGATAGCTTCCATTCATCCTCTTGAAAAGTAAAACAAAAATGGTTTTGATGCCACCATGCCAACTCCTGCATCATACATGGTAGCCTTACTTTTGATTAAGCTTAATTTTCACTACCAATTTATTTCAAATTTCACTATCGATCTATTACAAATTTCACTATCGATTTATTACAAAATTACAAAAGTCCATAGGAAAATTGAAGGAATTTTACAGCAAACTCCTGTATGTCTATAACGAAATGTTGCCATTAACATTTTTGTATACTTTCTTTATGACATATTAACAAGTATCCACTAGTCTACACCCCCATACCTCTTACCGTTTGGTACCCATAAAAGAATTATTTTATTTTAATGCTGTTTTAAAGAGAAAAATTGCTAGCAAGACATTTCATGCCATGGACGAATGAGTTGCACGGTGAAATTGGGTTGTGCAGTCGCTGTGTACACTGGGTGAGAGACTCTGAAATCTCAAGGAGGTGCCTCTACGCTGGCCTCTGCTATTAGTCAGCTGGACGACTGTAGACAGATTGCCCTTCAGAATCCTGTTTTTACCCTACTGTAGATATTGGAAGATGATCCTCATGGAGTTGTTGCCGTGAGAATTCAATACAAGAAATGCCAAGTGCTTAGCCGCGTGCCTGGTAAGCAATGACTGGGTTCTGGTATTGCCCTCTCTGGTATCCTGTAAGAACAAGGGTCCTATCTGTTCTCTTTCATCACTAAATCCCTAGTTCCTCCCACATTGCCTTGTAAATAGCAGATATTGAGTACATGGTTGCTAATGTGAACCGGGTTGAATTCATGAGATTTTTCTTCCTGGAGTACAGCAAGTATTTATTCATGGAGGAAGGCAAGTGTAGGGGGCTGCAAAGGTAGGCAGTAAGGAAAGTCAGTCCAGGAAACAGAGAATGAGATGAAGAGAAAAACCTAGCCCGCAACAGAAGCTATTCATACCATGTTTAGGGATGGACTCCACCAGTGCAGCATGTACCACAGGCTTGTCGCTGCTGCGTGGTGCCTCTTTGCCCAAAGGCTTTCCTCCAAACCAGAGATGGGTGACACAGCTGGGCCTGGGGAACAGCCCAGGCCAGGTGTGCAGGAGAGTTTACACCACAAGAACAGCTCTCAATGGATGATGGTAGCAAGGAGGACTTCAACCCTCTCCTCTAGAACTGTGAGTCAAAATGAATCTCCGTTCTTTATCACACACCCTGTCTCAGGTATTTTATTAGATTCCAGACTCCAGTCCTGTAGCCAGTAGAATCCTAGTTCCAGGGAAATTCAGACAGAGACCTTGTCACAGTGCATAGAGTTGCACATAGGAACAAGGTGTGCCAGCCCATCTCTGTCCATTCTGAACAGTTCTGCTGTCCCTTGTGTCATATTCTGCACCTCCAAAGAGATTTTGCTCAATGAAAGTCAAGTGTGGCATGGCAGTAGTTGGAGGTACTTAGGATCTCCAGGAACACGGATCCCTGCTGCTTCTACTTTCCAACAGAAATAAATTTCTTGGAGCCCAAGTCACCCCTACCTCTTCTCCAGACCACCGCACAAACCACATCTTAGTGGGTCTCTTTGCTCCCAGTCTACTCTTCTACTCTGTTCCTACCAGACACTCTACCAGCCAGCTGGAAGAACTTCTCCCATGGGGACAGCTGCTTGAGGTCCCTGGCTGCAGCTGTGCTGCAACCGGGACTCTTCCCCACACCTCCGGGTTGACTTCAGCTCCCATACCCTCCTCTTGCTGACTGTATTGGGGTCACCAAGTGCGTCACTCCACAAATGCACCCCAATTCCCCATCTGCAGGCCTTTGGACCTATACTTTCTCTGCCAAATGCTGTGCATCCAGCTCTCCCCAAGGAGGTCCCTGTCTCATCCTTCCTAAATGTCATGTACTCAGACCAGCCAGCAGGTATTTGTATGAGGGCTTCCTTCTCCCTTCTCCACTGCCCAGTCCTGCCATCTACTCTTTGTCTCATACCACTGTGTCTCTATTTTTAACAGTATTTTTCATACTCTATAATACTTTTATTTATTGATTTACTTATGATGACATTTCTCTTGCCATGTGAATAGAAGCTCTATTGACAACATGTCCACAACTATATTCACCCACTCCCAAACTTGGAGTCGGTCACATTAAAGGTACTCCATTTCTATTTACTCAGTGAATCAACAAAGTAACGGCCATTAAGACTCCTTGTTAAACTAGTCATCAGTGTGCAAATTCCAAGTTTAGGAAAGAGTAATATGGTTAAAATTTGATCATTCACATTGTCTTCCTTATGAGGAGAGGAGGTATTTAGTATTAATGCCTTTCACAGGAGATCATTTTTGTGGACAGAGACAGGCAGTGCCAGTCCAGGTTGGAGTCATTCGTGCCAAGTGTCACACACTGACAGTGAACTTTAACACAGGCCAGCTTTCCAAAAAGTAAATAAATAAATACTGACCAATCACCAGGGACACCATCTATGTGACCCAGCAGATCAGGGAAGTTCTTCCTGCTTTAGTCCTATAAAATAAGTCACTTTGAAATGACTCGCCCATTCCTTGTTCCTTGTTTGGCCATTTCTTTGTTTTGCATCAAGTCCTTCTAAGGTCGGTAGAGCAGCTTTCCATCTCATAGATAGAAGGCAGCTAGAATTTCTGATGATGGCCAATTCAATCATTAAGTTTGATTTATTGACAGGTTTTTTGACATGAGGTAACAACAGAATTAAGGCGAGTTTACAATCAGTTGTTCTGATTCATGTAACCATGTTTGTTTTAGGTAAGTTTTGGTCACCTTGATCTGGTCTGTCTTTTCAAAATCAGGCAAAGTGCGGTTCCTAGTTCTCAACCTACGGAAACTATGATCTCAGTAAGGACACCTGTCACAAGCTGCTGTCCCAGTGGGCCCTGTGTGACTTCAACCGTAAAGACAGAGTCTTGCTCCTACCCCATAACCTTTGCTGGGTCACTTGAGTTTCACTTTCCACCAAGCAGATTTCCAAATCATGGTAGTCAAAGTGGATTCTACTCTCTTCCTTTTTTCTATTTTTCTTTTTTTCATGGTATCTCCAAATTATTTTCTTGCCAAAATCATTCTGGCCTCTTATCACAGGGGTTGAGGCCAGCCCCGTTGGTCACCGAGACAGACACAGCTCACCTTACGTACGCTTGTCCCTTAATAAAAACATGCCTTGCGGCTCATCATGTTCCAGACTTACCCTGCCAACGTCTCTTGGGAAGGGCTGTCTCTGATTCTCTGGAATTAGAATCGGCGATACCACAATGGACCTCTTTTGTCTTGGGACAGGAGAAGTTCTTGCAAATTTGAATATATCCTAAAAAAGGAAACAAAATCAACTGATTAGAATCTCCTGTGGCAGCGCGTATTGGTCTGCCCTGAAAGACAGCGCGGTTTTGTGAAAACTCAGAGCTGGTTAGACACTGTCAATTTTCTTCTCTCAAATCTCATTGATGTTGCCGCGTTCTTTGTTAGAGTTACGCTAAAGCTGACATCATGACTCACAATGACTCTCATTGAGCTATTTAATCCCATCTTCTGAATCCTCTTCAGCGTGTCCCCTGGAGTTATCCATCCTCCTGTGCTGCCTGTTACCGTTCTTGGTCTGCTGTGGGCGTTGGTTATTCATCCACCTGCTCAGGAGCTCAGGGACTTACAGGAGAGCACAGCTGCTCCAGTCAGGGACACCTGGACAGTCCTTGGAGTCCCACATAGTGGGGACACAGGGACAGTCACAGAGCTTTACACCAAGGCAGACCTTCTAGGAACGTGTGGCCCGTAGTTTCCCTGGGGCAGGTGCTGTGACTGGGGGTGCACATTTTGGCCTGCACTCCCCTGAGGCAGTTTCCTAACTGTAATCATAGAGTCACACAGTCAGGGCTTTTGTCCTACATGTAACACACCTTTTAAGTGCAGTAAACTTGTTGAACAAAGAAAAACATTTATCATTAACGTATCCACATTGCATTATGTGAAAAAAGAAAGTAAATAAGGATCATGAAGATCCAATTGCATAATTCGATGCGAGCTAGAAGCTGCTGCTTTAGAAAGAGAGCTCCTCTTTTTGGAAGGGAGGTGAGAAGGGCTGGAGGTGGGAGGAGGGACAGCAGCACAGAGAGGAGAACCCTCCTTGGCCTGATCAGCAGCCCGAAGGAGAACTGAAAACGGAGCCGAATTTTCCTATATAAACCGTGTAATGCTGCGCCCTGTTTAAAATCGCCTTCCACATCAATGCAAGGAAGCACCTGGATCTTCAGAGGACAGGTTTCTACTGAAATCATGTGGCAAATACGAAGGCCACCACGAGCCTCTGGCCCCACAAAAGTGTGCATGTGTGATTATAGTTGTTTACAAAAAAGGTGTGCGAGAAAAGTCAAACAGGAAACAAGACCAGCTCCGGCTCGAGTTGCTTCTACAGGCCCGCCACACTTGGCGCTGGGCGTGCACACTGCTGACACCACTGCAGCGAGCAGCTGGAGGTGCTGATTTATCAAGAACCTTAGAAAGGTGGACATCTCTTCCTGCTGAAAGTTTGCTAAGTAAATAGAGCTGAACAAGAAAGAATAGTAGTCATCCCTGCAGAAAGATGTTTAGCAAGACGCGGTTTGTAAGGGAGAAAAGTGGGAAAGAGCTTAGGTGATCAACAGCAAGGACAAGGCTAAGCCTGGGTCCCCACAGGGGCCTTGTCTGTGGGCCATCACCCAGGCAGCTGGAAGGCCATGCTCCATCTCCACCATCTCTGCCAAAAGCTACCCTAACAGCACCGTGCTGACCATGTGCTGGCTAATGAGGCAGACACTGTAAGCGTATCAAAGCTAATATTTGTAAAAAGCCTCCCAAGAAAAGTATAGCCCTCCTTAACTGAAGATAAGAATTCAGGGCCTGCCAGATAGCTCAGCAGATTAAAGTGCCTGCTCAGGCAGACACAGGGACCAGGCGTTTGATCCCTGCAGTGCCGTGCTGGCCTTGCCCTCGGGGCACACTGAGATGGAGATTGAGACTGGGCATGGTGGCGCACACCTGTAATCCCAGCACTTGGGAGGCTGAAAACAGGAGGATCACTATGAGTCAGATCTGTGTAGTGAGACCCTATAGACCCTGTACTAAATACATAAAAATAAAATAGCAACAGAAGAAAATTCAGAGAGATCCTGATTATTTATGAGTTGCCCCAATTTATATTGTCAGCAGAGGGAACATATAGGATGAAATATATAGGGAAATCTGGAACCTATTGGGTGCTTTCTGTTTTATACAAACGGTTCTCCTATATGGGTATAGAAGCATATCAAGATCTCCATGAAAGGGCCAAAGTAACAGACCATTTGGCTCTAAGAAGACAAAGGCTCAAAATGGAGACAAAAACAGAAAGTTGAGATTTATATACGTAATAACAGTGAAAAGAAGAAGCAGAAAAGATAAAACAAGCCAACCAGCAAAACTAACCTAGCCAACCAAAAAAAAGCAAAAACAAAACAAACCCAACTCAAAAAGGAACACCGGGAAAGTGAGGGCAGAACAGAAAATGAGAGAACAATGGGAATCGAGCAAACTGTTGTGTACAAAACAGATTCGAGACACCTAGGAAGGGTCCGTGGTGTGTTAAGGGATGGCAAAAGAATAGAAACTATATAAAATATGTGCATGATATGAGTCTCATTTGCAGTTAAAAAGCTGGGAGCCTTGGATGAGAGCGCTCTGAAAAGACTTCAAGTCACATGCAACCGGAAGGGACTAGTGACTCGGCTCTGTGATGGGCCAACAGAGGCCTCTGTTCATTGTGACAATGTGTGTGTAAATGTGTTCAAAGGAATGCAGAAGCATACTGCATCGTCCGTAACTAGCTTGCGGTTGTTTGCAGCAGAGGGTTTGCCTGTGCTTTTCTGGACTGACTGGGTGACCTTTCTGTTCTCAGGATGCACCTGTGGGCAGGTCCCTGAGCCCCGGCCTACGCCCGGTGTCTTTCTAGACTGCAGCAGCATTGGCCCTAATTCTCCCAGCACCCCACAGACAGGGCGGCAAGCACAGCAGGGTAGCCTGGATCCACAGCACCCAGGGAGAGCA